GCGTCTTACCTTCTTCTACTTTACAATTTCTATTTTCTGCAAGAATTTCATCTCGTCCTCATTCGTTATCTCAGCATACCTCTATTTAAATACACCTGGTTCCTGCGTAGGTTTGGCTAGACAGAACTGCAAATCTATCCAAAAGAGAAGAGCAGAACCACTCAACAAATCTTTTATTTCGAAAAAGTAACTGACACATAAAGATATTTTGACGCATTGTACACGGGAGCATAGAAGCATCATGAGTCTTCGACCTTAAGCCGATCGAATAAATTATCTATAACCACGGCCTCGCCTATTATGGAAATGTCTGTGAAGTCATGTGTCACAAGCCAGATGTCCGGGTCCTGTGTACTGTCCATGCGCCAGTCAACGGGTTTGAGAATGAAGCTGGCTGCGGCCACAGCTCGACCCGGTGCAAGAGCATTTACATCCGCTGGCGTGACATCATTGGCCTGGGTTTCATTAACGGAAGGAAGCGTGACTTGAAAGCCCTCCTGTTCCACCAAGAAAGCGGTCATTCTTGTCAGCATATTTTGGTTCATAGTTGCCTTGGTACTTGGATAGTAGGCCAACCGATCTGACAAAAAACAATACGTTATGGCTAGGGTCTGTATAAAAGGGCAAATAGACGGGTAGGGGGGGCTGGGTTGTTAAGAAAATGAAAAAAGGCTGTAATACGGGTCACCAGCCGAGTGTATCCAACAAGTCCTCACGTGTCAACGTTCACAGGCGATTGCAGGCGAAAAGTGAGCAGCTGTCAGTTAGTTATAAATAGTAAACATAAACGACTACTAACACATCACGAGTAGTATAGTTACATAAAGATAGTATCTCAGCCCACAGGCGATGCCAAGTGCACGGGTGTATGGACGTTAATCCTAATGAAGACGTCCGCACATTGGTTGCTCATAAACCCTAGTTAAAATAGTCACTATGTAGCTAGAAACGGCGACTTAAAAGGATATATCTTTCACTGTTATACCAGTGAACCTGTTAGTACATTTCGGAAGAGCAATAATAGCAGATTGTTTAGGAGGTTTGGCAGATTTGGCAGATTTGGTTAATTCAGAAGGGCAGTTGGCGAGCATACGTATACTTTCGATAAATTCTCTTCGGGACCATTTTTCATAATCCAGAAGGACAGTTGGCGAGCATACGTATACTTTCGATAAATTCTCTTCGGGCACTACATTTATATGGAAGGGAAAGGTACAGGGTAACAAGCAATCAATTAATTATCGTTCTAATCAACTTAGAAAGATACAGGGTAACAAGCAATCAATTAATTATCGTTCTAATCAACTTAGTCTTGGATGGGGTTAATTTGGTTAATTTAGTTGACCCGATTGTGAAAAACTTGTGGCATTCGGCGCGATTTGAACCCGCTTAGTAGAGAAGGCCTTTACGCAGCCAACCATCTACCACATGAGCTACAAACACCACGCCTTGCACCGTGACCTTAATCACACTTGGATCGATTTTACCCGCCCAACTTTACCGCTCGTATGGAATCCACCAATACGGAACAGTAGACTGACTGCCCAAACAGGATTCCCTAAACAATCATGTAGAACCCACAGAATGACTATTAGGCTGACTTAATTATATAGAAGGTTTGGCAGACTTTCTTGATTTAGTCAACCCAGTTGTGAAACAACTTGTGGCATTTGGCGGGATTGGAATTCGCATAGTAGGGAAGGCCTTTACGCACCAGATACTCTACCAGTTGAGCTACAAATGCCACGCCTTGCACCGCCGAATGCCGCGAGTTTTTTTACAATAAGGTCAACTAAAATAATAGCAGAGGCGCGGTACTAGCAGACCATTGACGAGAGGTTTTTTTACTTGCACTCCTTTGTTAAGAAGGGGCCCGAAAGTTTCCTAAGGTCGCACGTCAGTTAACTTTTATTCAATGACAGCTCCAATCCCATCTATTGTCTCCACATGGTTGATTCCTGTGTCAGATTTCTTTCCTATCAGTCATAATGTGTTGAATTCATAGTATGGAGCCTTTGTACATTATGCCACCCTAATGTTCCGCGCGTAATAAGTAAAATGAAAGTTACAACCAATAAGAAACAAGAACCACCCACAATAATGCATAAGGGCCTATATTGTAGTGCCATAAGCCAAAAAAGTAAAACTAAGATATTCTAAAACTAAACTAATAAAGAATAAATTAAACGAAACACTCAAGTAAAGGAAAACTAAACCCGAACTTGTAAAAGTAAACAATAAACTAAGACTAAACTAGTGGACCTGAAAACTGAACTAAACTACAACTAATAAGGATAAAAAGTGACCACAAATCGCTTAAGAAATCTGTGTGGGGAGTGAAACGTACATAGACTGTGATAAGAAAACTCGCTTACTACTATGAAATACGTAAGCAGTTGTGCGAAGTAAAAGTGGTGGCCCGAAATCAGACTGTTTCCAAACTTTCTAACTGCCCGGTATTCGGTCGGGCGCTTTTTAAACAAAGTACGAGCGAGCACAGAAGTAATTGGTTGTATATACTTGTTATATATTTGCATTTATAAGGACAGTAAAAATTAATGTGTTAAAGGAATATTACTTAAGTAGCCCTTTTTATAGAATATATTTTTTTAAAGCGGTCAAAATAAGCGCATTAAGAAGCTGGCATGCTCGTGTGACTGAAATGACTCGAGATCGCCCTAATAGCAATGCGCGCGTTATCGTAATACGCAAATTCCAGCTACACGCATGCTTGATGGTCATTGGTTTGGATAATTACGTAATCGATAGATGATTGGCCTATCGATTTTGCATGCTCTCACGTATGGCGGACACCACTGTGACGTGGCGCAATCTGTTGATAAGCCGCACAAGTGAGCTCTCGTTAATACGACTGTAAATCCGGTAAACCTGTTGTTTTTTTTGCTGTTTTTTTCAGCATGTGGAAGCCCCCATCAAAGAGAACGTAACGACGACGTGTGTTGTGTGGGAAGAAGGTAGTAGTTGGTGCAGTTCGGTATCCGAAGAAGAAACCGAACAGTCAACAAGTAATCCAGCGATGGAGCAAGAGCAAAGTCTGAAAGATGCTTTGCGGTCATGGGCAATAGACATCAACACCCCGAAAAACCATCTGTATACAGTTGCCGCTGGTAAGAACAGACCTTTTCTGCTATGACAATTTTCAACGCAGAAGTACTAGAATAGCACTACCACGTTCTCATTGTTGACAGGACGGAGATACCTAAGGCATTAAAACTTGCCTTCAAGCGCGCCAACGATCGGAATCAGCGGCATAGTGGGTGGTATTCGCACTCTACGAACCGAACTAATGAGTCCACTTAACCTTGTTACTCGCTGCTACGTTATGTTTAGTTACCTACATACAAATTTCCTTCTTATAGATATACCGCGAATCATTATGATGACGATGCGCTAGGGCTGTAGGGACTAGTATCGCCGTATTTGAACTCTACAGTGCTGCGATCTGATAGCCAAAGATAACTTTTTATTATTTTTGTACTCTAGTATTTTCTAAACCAGTTTTTAATATTAATATCTACATTTTACTTGACAAACAGGCTTCAAAAAAGTAATATTGCACTATATTTTGGAAAACATGGGGGTATTCGCAGGAAAGGAGGTAACCCCTGTCCAGATGAAAAATGAAAGTCGGTTTTTCGAGCTCCAACCACGATAACACGAGTTCGCTTGGAGCTCGTTTTTCCGAGCTCGTTTCGAGCTCGTACAGGCAATCAAAACGTGCTCGATTCGTTTTGCTATTCGGGTGGTCTGCATAGTATTTAGTATTACAACCCTGCTTGATGCCGGTTGGCGATTGAATATCAGCCTTTCGCAAATTCCGGCATTTTGCTTGACATGTCGACCATACTGTAATCAATGTGATGCATTTTCATCATTCAGTGAGCATTAAAAGCTTTGACTTTTTAGGCTAAGGACCGACTCGGAATAATTCTTCCCGCAGTCAGCCGGGCCGACAGCTAATAAGCCAGAAATTACCATTTCAGTTTGTCTTGTCTTTGTCGGCAGTACTATGACGGTGTGTTGTCCAGCCTATCGCGCCAACCGGTCAAGTCGGAGAATCGCAATTTCTCCTTTCTGCATTGCGCCTGAAGATGGATTAGCTTCAGAAACTTTCAAGTACAACTCAGTCTTCTGAGGAGCTCTCTCCCCCTATTCAATATGCATTCTCGAAAGGCACATTACAATTCTGTTTTGGTGTTCCCACAAGGGCCCCATCAGCAACCGCAAGGTGGCTAATACTATAGACAACATAATATTATTACTGAAATCGATATAAGTATGATTAAAATCATGGCTCACCGTGAACCTCGTAATTAATGGTAGAGCGTTGACTGCGCAAAAGCTTTCCCTGCTGTGTGAGTTCGCCTCCCACCGAGGCCGCGAATTTTTCACAACTTGGTCGACTGGATTACCAACAAAGCAAGGGAGACCGGATTGGTAATTTTCGGCTTATTAGCCGCCACTATCACCAACTAGCCATAACCAATCTGAAATCGTGTGACGCAAGAGGGGAACTCAGGTTGCCGACTTAAACCTCCTGGTTAAAAACCTGAGGTTGGATTTGGCTAACTAATGATGGCCGATAAGCCAGAATGGAAATGCCAGTCTTCCT